ATTGATTTCATTTTAGTCACTGAATTTTAGGGTGATTTTCATCCAGAGTCTTTGGACCTACTCTAGTGAAATCTTAATTGGGTTACTAATATTTAATTTATCAAATTTCATTACTCAGTCATATTCAATCATCAGTAGTCCCCTAACTAACACAAATTGCTTAGTTGACAGTTGAAACGTAATGGATTGTAATCGTTGTGTGACGGTCTATAAATGAAAATGATAAAATAAGCATTATGACAATATCGTTAGATTAAAAAGTTCACGTGATTTTTAAAATATTGATTAAGTCGTAGTTCTATTATGGTTATCAATTAAGCAATTTCTTTAATTTTGGAATGGGAGATATGAGACAGAGCACGCCATGTTAGACCACCTAATTTGACGCCACTACCGCAAATGAAATTTATCCTTGAATTTTGACTCGTTTGTTGGAGCTTAACGAGCTCTAATACCATATTAAGATTTGAAGTTTCATCCTAAAATGTCAACATTTTTAGGAGGAGTAGCACAATCCCTTATAAATTGGTATATGTTTTCATGGGAAGATCATTCAATCTTAAGAGAGCTTATAAGCACAAAATGGTTTACAAAGAAGTTCATATTATTTGTTTACCTTGTACAAACTCAAACTGGATCTACCAATAATATGAACTTTGTTCATCCACTCCATTTGACACCCAATGCATGGAGTGGGGTGGTTTGAAAATGCAAAAGACATGCTTCTTCTGGCATTATATCAGCTCCTCTACTTTCGACCCACAAATCATGTCCTTTACTTTTTCGCTTAAGTATTCGTCCATGAAACCCGCATTCGTATTCATTCTCCTTGTTTCTTTCCTCGCAAAATGGAAGCTCATCTCGGTAGAAGCAAAGGTCTTTGTGGTTTTGATGGAGGATGACCCTGTTATCATGATGTCACTTAGGTCTCTTAGTTAATAATAACATATGTTTTTTTTATCTTTTCTAATAGGAAATTTTGCTTCAATAGCTGACCAATTCATTGTTTGGATTAGGAATGATGAAAATATTGCAATCTACAAGGAGAGAATGACGAGAGAGCATGATATTTTCCTAGAATCGCTTCTAGAGAAAGGGTCATACATCAAGCTGTACAGCTACACTCATTTGTTGAATGGCTTTGCAATTTATGCGACAGACAAGAAGGTAAATTTTTATCAAGATGCTGTGCAATTTTTACTGTTATATCATTTCAGACAGAAAAACATTAACAATGTAGTTTTCAGCAGGTGCTTCGTGTGCTGGAAAGTGCGGAAAAAGTTAGATTGATCCACGAAGATACAAAATTGCAGAAACTTACAACACATACGCCTGAACTTTTAGGAATTACTACTGGTGTTTGGCCTTCATTAGGTGGATCTATGCTTGCAGGCGAAGGAGTGGTTATCGGCCTCATAGACACAGGAATCAATCCTTTCCATCCAAGCTTTACAAATGAAGGTTTCAAGGGCCCTGCAAATTTATTTACCAAAACTAAGTTTAAAGGGAAATGTTGGACCGGTGAGCAATTTCCTCCATCAGCGTGCAATGGCAAGATAGTTGGAGCACAGTACTTCGCAAGAGCTGCAATTGCTGCCGGAGAATTTAATTCCACTAGTGACTTTGCTTCTCCCTTCGATGCTGATGGTCATGGAAGGCACGTATCATTTTGATTATTGATAATTTAATTTTTTGGAGTCTTAATGCATTGAAGTTGGTGTAATTTAACAGCCATACAGCTTCAACAGCAGCTGGAAACCATGGTATTCCGGTGATAGTTAACAGCTTCAACTATGGATTTGCAAGCGGCATGGCACCAGGAGCGCAGTAATAAACTGATTTATTTCTTATCTTTCCTAAATAAGTACTCAACTCTTTGTAGATACATTATACGGACATTTTTTCATATCTTCAAGTTTGATCACAATCAGAAAGCTGCATATCTTAATGAATTGAATTGTGATACATTATATTGGCATTGCAGGATTGCTGTGTATAAAGCTGTATATCCATTTGGAGGTCACATGTCGGACGTTGTGGCAGCAGTTGATCAGGTTTATTCGTTGTACTCAATTATATCAGTTGTTTATTAGGGAAAAGAGAGTGAATTAACTTATCTGAAGTTTTTGTTTATTCAAAGGCGGTAGAAGATGGGGTTGATGTATTAAGTCTTTCTATAGGGCCAGCAAGGGTGCCGTCTGGCCCTTCTGCATTCTTAAACGTCCTGGAATTGGAACTTCTGTTTGCAACAAAAGCAGGTGTTCTTGTTGTTCAAGCTGCTGGAAATGGAGGACCTTCTTCTAGTTCAATTCTTTCTTTTAGTCCATGGATCACCAGTGTTGCGGCCTCCATAACTGATCGGAGATACAATAATTCGATCAGATTGGGAGATGGCCAAAGCTTAATCGGAACTGGACTTGCACGTAAGTTTACTTACCAGTTTCTTCAATTCAGAAATTACTTCCTAAAAATTCTGAAAATGTCAATTTTGCCGTGTACTGAAGCTCCAACGGTTGGAGGAGTGTTTTTCCCGGTCGCAGCTGCTGCTGATGTTTGTCAAAGGAACATTACGGCAGGTCTTGTAGAGAGCTGCCAGAATGCAGATCCATTCATTCGGTCCTTAGTTCGTGGGAAGCTAATCATCTGCACTTATACCTTCGACTTTGAATCTGAGGCAGCTACTATTGCTACAGTTGCAGACACTATAAGTAAAACCGGGGCTGCTGGTTTCATACTAACCATGGATCCTGATATTGGCTCTGAGGAGATTAAGGGTGCCGCAGTAACCTTACAAGTTCCGGGAATCATTCTAAACAATATGGAATCATCTTCTGTACCTCTCTTGACATATAAACAAAACATAATGATTTCTTTCTTTAAATTTGTCAAGATAGATTTTATTTTGATGTAGGCTCTGTGGGAATATTACAATTCGAATACGATAAGGAGCAGAAGTGGAGTTGCTATAGGTTTTCGAGCAACGGCAAGGATTTTAGATGGCAGGGATGCCACTTATACTGGGCAGGCTCCAGTAGTGGCATCGTACTCATCAAGAGGTCCTGATGTTAACAATGCACTTTTAGAGACTGCAGATGTCCTCAAACCTAATATCATGGCTCCAGGCTCCTCGATATGGGCTGCCTGGAGTCCTAATAGTGATGGAGATCAATACATCAAAGGTAGGCGAAATTAATTCGACTCAATAATCAATATAGTCTTATTAAATTGGACTTCAGAATTTTGGTTTGCGAAATATCTTCTCCTTCCAGGGCAAAGTTTTGCATTATTGTCTGGAACCAGTATGGCTACCCCGCATGTAGCTGGTATTGCTGCACTGATAAAGCAAAAGCACCCCGACTGGAGCCCCGCGGCCATCACTTCGGCAATGATGACAACGGCCAATTTCACTGCTGCTTCTGGGGCTCCGATTCTGGCCCAACAGAAAAACAAGTTATCTCCTGCCACCCCGTTCGACTTTGGAGCAGGTTCCATCAATCCTTCCAGAGCAATCGATCCAGGACTCATATTTGACGTTTATTTCAAACATTACGTACAATTTTTATGCACAGTTCCGGGGGTTGACGACATGTCCGTGAGACGAGCAGTGGGAGTCGGGTGCCCATCTAAGAAAACAGAATGGTGTTCGGATTTGAACACAGCAAGTGTGACAGTTTCAAATTTGGTGGGATCAAGGAAGGTGACTAGAAGGGTGACTAATGTAGGTGAGTTGGATGAGAAGTACACAGTGCTTGTGAGAGAACCATTTGGAGTGAACATTACCGTGAAACCTCAATCTTTTAAGATCAGCGTCAATGCTTCGAGGCACATTACACTTTTCTTGGTCGCAACTCAGATGACTAATGCTTACACATTCGGTGAGGTGGTGTTCGAGGGGAATAACAATCATGTAGTTAGAGTTCCTATAGCCGTCTCCGTGAGCAGCACATTAGGTTTTTGATGTCAGTTCTTCCATGGTCAAGTTCTTGATTCTCTGCTATTAGTCTTTTATAATGTATTTGATTGCAGGCATATGAATTATTTCAACAATAATTATCATAATCTTGTTCATAACAATCTGTTCTTGTACAAGTTAGGTTTAAGAGAGAGTTGCATACTTTCATACGAGTTCTTGAATAAATCGATGGATTTGTTTCGTCTGAATTTCCATTCTAGTGATGATCCCGCATTGTTGCAAACAATTTTGAGAAGAAACTCTTCTTTTTCTTCATCTGAAAAGTAAAAAATTATTCTTTAAGGTAATCTGAAATTATACGATGTAGCTTATAATAGAGGACGCTTAAAGGGAATCTGCAAGTTACCTGGAGGCGTTTCACCACGGTTGTTATCTTAGTAATTATGGATACACTGTTTTTATCCTTGTTTTTCTTCTTCATTTTCAATGTTTTTGAGGCTGTCATCGATGTGAGAAAGCTCGGTAATAACAACTTCCATTTTCCCAAACAAGTTGGAGCAAATGTTTTTCTTGTCTTTCTTCGAGTGGGAGTAATCTGAACTGCACGAGGTTGTATGATGTTCGAACTCGAATGTACTGGTGAGGACGCCCCTGATCTTGCAGATGTTCGCAGGTCTCTAGCATAGTCGAGAAGCTCCGCTCTCCTATTATACCTTCTACCACCAGCAGCAAGATTAGCCTGGTGGAAGTGCCGCTGGTGGTGGTAATTACTCGAGGGCAACCTCCTCCTCGGCCTCTCTACGTAAACTGCCACCAATACAACTCGCTCTCTGCAGCATGTTGCCTAACAAAATCAATATCCCAAGAATTGTTTTCTGATCAGAGTGCAAAAATAGAGATGTAATGACAGAAAATTTCAAGGAAAAGACTCACCATTCTGGCCGGCCAGGGAAAAAGGAGAAGAGGGCTGAGATCATTAATAAATACTAGAGTTTTGCAGGCAGGCCTTAAGACAATGTCAAACAGGATTCATTGTTTGGATCGAAATCGTATCCTTATAATAAGGTTATGTGTTTTATATAAGACAACACAATATATGATAAGATACACAATAATATAAAGAAATCAAAGATCATACTATATCAGTCCAATTGTATCTTTGTGCATTCTCATTGATGTTTGAGTTTCAACATCCTTTGTTCATGTCTTTATTACACCTTAAACTATATATTTTCTGACAACTGTTTACCAACAAGGTATTGATTGATTATTAAGGTTTTCTATTCTGACAGAAAATTTATCGAATTAATGTTATCTATAAACAGAAGTTTTGAGTCCCTCACTTTGGCATTTCAAAAATTATAAATGGAATACTAATATTTGCAGATTTTGTTTCTATCTCTCTGCTCTGCAGGATTCAAAACTCTCACTCGGATATTCTACATAGCATAAACGTGATAAAATAGAGCTATAGACCTGTCATGACTATCAGATCTACTTTGTGAGCAACGTGTGCGGGTCGATGACTAAGTATATTCATGGTTATACAAGACCTCGACTTGAACTTGATATTCGTACTTGTTTGATTTTGATTTTAAGTACTTATAAGCTGTGAATCCTATCAAATGTGTGGACAACATCCTAGGTCCAACTCCATAAGTTGGTGAGGCCAATGGACTCTTGTAATTAAGCAAAATGATGGCATAACATTAAAAAAGAAAATCAGAAACAAACAATCAATAAACAATAAGCATTTGTCAGTTACAGTTGGTGTGTTTTCAAACACCTACGCGAGCATCCGGCTAGAAACGTCAACACAGTGACATGACGACGACTAAATGTACAAGCATTATTTCTTCGTCTCCAAATACGGAGAAAACGAAATCATGCACGAACAAATGTTTTACCATTTTGATGCAAGAGCAAAAAATGATAATACATATAGGATAAGAAGAAAGTGACATAATAATCAACGGACACTACTCTAAAAAATCATCTAATCTCTTATTATCCTTGAACCGTTCTTCTTACATCCTCGAAGCTCCAATCTCTTCTCATCCCACTGCTCCTCACCAGCCTCGGCGTGGCGACCCCTGTTTCAAAAGGCGTGGGTCCCCCACCATTCTTGGCATTGTTCGCAGGCCCGAGATTGGACCCACTTCTTATTTTGTCATAACTGGAGCTGGGTTCCAAATCTCCTGACCAGGTTCTCTCTACCCTCCCCAAACACAGGCTGAAATTTGATTTCTCCAAATTGAATATATTACTATGTTCTTTGTTCAAGTCTGATCTTTGGCGTGGCAGGCAATTTAGACTCATTGTGTAATTTGTAGGACAAGAATTTCATGTGGTTGAAGTTTCAAAAAGTGCTCCAATAGATGGTTGAAAAGAGCAACTTTTTCCTGCGTGGAGAATGTTTCGTTCCTTAATATTAGCCTTTACTTGTGCTTCTAATCCTATACTGAAGGTCGACCATTAAGTTTGGTAGGTTCTTAATTATTTGGATCAAATGAAAACTAGTCAGTTAAATAGCAAGTATAAACAAATATTTTGGATGAACAAGTCATTGGTTGAGATGATAAATTGCTATTTATTAATTCGACGGGTAGAAAAAAAACAACAATCTAATCGAAAATATAACTTCGATGGAGGAAAACTGTACGATTATCATTTCATGTGAAAACTGATTGATATCAAGTGTAATTATTCTTTTCAAGTGTCAATTGATTAATCGATTAAAAAATTATTTATTTTAAAACTTACTTACGTAACTAAAGTATTTTTATTTTTTTTTAAAGTGAAGCCAATATGAGAAATCATTTTTGTCTTTTTAATCAATTTTCACAAGAACTCACATGAGAAATGCAATAAAAATTGGAGAGAGAGAGCCCCAGTTTTATAAAAAGTATAAAATAAAAAAATCCAATTTCAAGAAGCTAATCTCATCCCAAAACTCAGACCCATCAACCAAAATAATCTAAAAATAAAAAATAAAAATCCAATATTTACTATTTTTTTGTTTTTGTGAAATAATTGTCTACTTTCTTAACAATTTGTAGGTGAAACTTTTGCAGCGTTTTTCTTGTGCTATTTTCTCTGAAAAATCCCAAAACTTTTATTATAATTGTTTATTTTCTTAACAATATTTACTATTTTTTCGTGAAATAATTGTCTATTTAACAATTTGTAGGTGAAACTTTTGCAG